GCTGCAGTGATAGACATTATTTTATGGCAGTGTTTTGTGTCTTTAAAAAGTGATCCATAGAGCAATCGGTCATGCATAGAGGTCAGTTAGAGTACCCCAAAACTGTACTCCAATCAGAGTGGAATACTTTAACCCTTGTGCGTGCGAGGACTAAGGCAAACGTAGAGGACTATGGCAAATGATACAAGTTTTACGTGTGTGGGGTCGGTTGGATCCTATTTCTACATACATACATTTAATTAAGCAAGTGTAAAAAGTATTTGGTAAACCACTGAGTAACTGATCATAACACCTGATTTAATAATCAAAATGTGTCCTCAGACTACTAAAAGTATAAAAGTTATGTGAACATTCTGATATTTTACAGAGTATTACCAAAATATTTATATAAATAAGGACTTAGGTTTGGAGGCTGGTTATAGACCAGATTTACCACAGGGGCCAAGGCAGTCAGTCTTTTTCCATGGCAACACTTGAAAAAGAAGAAGAAGAAATAAAAAACAGAGCAATATTTCATCATTTGATATAAGTGAGCCAAAGAGCCACTTGTGTCTCCAGAGATTCAGTTTGCAGATCCCTGGCAAATGGAAAGTGTGATCCTATCTCCATACAACAGCTAAAAGTTCAGCAGTACAATTTTTTATTCATTGTTAAAGTGAAATTGTGAAGGTTAAAAAAAATCCACCACTGAGTATTAACTAGGGTTGCCACCCGTCCCTTAAAATACGGAATCGTCCCGTATTGAACCGATACGGGACGCGATTTGTTCCAATGTCCGATATGTTCGAATGTCCGCCTATCACACATATCAACACTAAGTGTAGCAATAATGACCAAAATAAAACACAGGAAATATTAAAGTCAGCTAAACTGTCGTGGCAGAAGCTACACAGGACCCCAGAATGCGACGGACCCACGCTGTTGTCACGGCTGCCTAGAGACGGACACTACACAGCCCGGTGATGTGCTGTCAACCCGCGTCTTTTTGAAACGTCCTTGACCCGATTCTCGACTGTCCTTAGAAGCAAAACCTCTCATAAAGATACGGACGTGCGAGGGAAGACGCAAATCCTAGACTGAATAATGTTAGTGAGAATGAACACAGGCAATTTAAAAAAAAAGTTTCCATCGTGGCGCAGTGTGCTGCTGTATGAATGGATCAGGAGAGGAACTGCAGACCCATCAGAACCTAAAGAACCAGAAATCAGCGTCTCTTCATCCCTCAATGATCTCCTGAGGCTGATATGCTACAGAACATTTTGCTACGAGTAAGTTTCTTATTGTGCTTTTACTGGTTTGATTATTTGCTTATTTAATGCTTATTTTATATAATATCATCAGCCAAAATAATACAGGTCATTTAAAGAACAAGTCATACAAATAGATTAATGCTAAATACATAAATATTTCCTACATTAAAATGTTTGTTAAGGCTTTCTGAAGGTTTTATTTTGAAATATTGATATATTTTATTAATTAATTGTTCAGTGGTCATTTAATGAATTATTAATGCACCAGACACAGACCTGTAGCCTTGGGCGGTTCTAGATGGGGGCCAACGGAGTACCAAAGAAGTTATACTAAATAAATGTCTTATGTTAATACTCAGTGGTGGATCACTTTTTTTTTAACCTTCACAATTTTACTTTAACAACGAATTAAAAATTATAGTGCTGCACTTTTAGCTGCTGTATGGAGATAGGAACACACTTTCCATCTGCCAGGGATCTGCAACCTTAATCTCTGAAGACACAAGTGGCTCTTTGGCTCACTTATTATATCAAATGATGAAATATTGTTCTGTTTTTTTTTTTTTCATTCTTTTTCAAGTGTCACCATGGAAAAACACTAACTATCCTGGCCCCTGTGGTAAATTTGGTCTAGAACCAGCCTCCAAACCCAACTCTTTTTCTATAAATATTTTAGTAATATTCTTTACAGTACCAGAATGTTCACATAACTTTTATACTTTGGCTGTCAGAGGACACAATTTGAATATTAAATCAGGTGATATGATCAGTTACTCAGTACTTGAGTAGTTTACCAAATACTTTTTACACTTGCTTAATTAAACGTGTTTTTAAGGTATACTACTGTGACTGGAGTACAATTTTGGGATACTCTAGCCAACTGTGCATGAATGACTGCTCTACAGATCACTTTTTAAAAACAAAAAACACTGCTGTAAAATAATGTCTATCACTGCAGTGGACACCACATCAGAGTCCCCCGCGCCGTGGGGAGCGTCCCTTATTTTAATTTCTGAAAGACCAGCGGGACGTGCTATGAAGCCCTGGAGGCAGGCCAGGAAACCAACAGGACCCACAACGAAGCCCTGGAGGTCAAACCTACAGGACCCGCGACGACCCTCTCGTTCACCATGATAAACCCCAATGTACAGGCGCCAAGATGGGAGGCAACCAGTATGCCCACTCCTGTCTGGTGCCTCTCACCATGGGCAACTCCAGAGTGGAAGTATGTCCAGCCCCTCTCAAGGAGACTGGTTCCAGAACCAGAGCCATGCGTCGAGGTGAGACCGACTGTTTCTAGTCAGTGGAGGCCTAACTAAAACAAAAATGAAACTAGAGTTCATAGTATAAATAAGTGTCTGATGACCTGGCGACAAAGGAGATTAGAGTCCGATTGTCTGGTAACGAAGGAGACCTGAGTTCGATGACGTCAAGTTCCCATAGCACCGCAGTCCTGCTGGCCTCAAGCTCTCCTGCCAACATCTTTCAAGCAATTAGCTCTTCCGCCATCACCCCATCACATTCTCACAAGTGTCCTGGTGAAACCTCTGACCACACGTCTGAATATAGGTGGCTGCTCCTGAGGCTGGTCTGAAAACTGCTGGTTGTCTTCGTCGGTTTCCTCTTCAGATAAATCCTCGTTTTCCTCTGTGTCCCTCAGCCTTTGGCTCAGCTGATCCACTTCAAGCTGCAGGTTGTTATTTATATGCTCCAAGACTTTTCTTTCCTTCTCGGAGGCGACGCTTCTGTGCTGCAGGACGATGCGAGTCAGCTTCAGAGCGTTGTTTTCCTCTTCCAAGATGTTGTTTTTCTCCAGCAGGAGGTTTTATCCTCTTCCAGTTTGATGTTTTCCTGCTCCAAGATGTTGTTGTTCCGCTCCAGGGTGGTGCCTCTCTGCTCCAAGGCGATGTTTCTCTGCTCTACGGCAGTGTTATCCTGCTCCAAGATGGCGTCTGTTTGCTCCAAGGCGGTGCTTCTCTGCTCCAAGATGGCATCTATTTGCTCCATGGTGGTGTTATTCTCCTTTAAACTTCTGTTTTCTTCAAACAGTTTTTTAAAGTTCTTGTCGTTTTTCTGAAGAAGCTTTTCAATTTCAAGCTTCAGATCCTCATGTTCTTTTATGAGGTTTTTTCTTTCAATCAACATGTTGACTTCTTTCAAGATGCCTTGGGGCTTCTGTGTATCTGTAGCTAAAGTTTATGTGGTCTAGACAAATCCAAAAGCTGCTCAATGTCTAACTTTTTTTCTTTGTTAGAAATTGCCTTTTTATCTTGAAAAGCTTTTGCATTCAAACTCTTAGGAGACAGTCCTTCTACTCGCTCTGTGACTTCTGCAATGGTTATGAATATGCAGCTCTGTTCTCTTTGTTCTTTCTGTTCCCAGAGGCCAAAATTTGACATTTTTGTCCATTTCAGGATGGCAAAGTCTATCGATAATTTTTGAAAAGATAGTTAATATTTTGGTATGTTAGCCCTTCGAAAAGTTATCAGCTCATGAAGTAAACAACCCCTTTGGAAAAATACAGTTTTTTCAGACTGGTGTATGTCTGGTTTAGGCTCATGGTATGGGCATTTGTCAAAGGTTTATAATATAGTGTTTGGTATCTTCTTAAAGGGGACACTCTTGGCTTTCATTTAAACCAGGTTTTGAGTTTCTCTGACCAACACAGAGGTCGCTAGAGCTCGTTAAACAAAAATAATACACATTTTTCCACACCTTTTGACCAAACTAGATACATTTCTTTTATCCCAGTGGTGTCCAGGGACATCAGGGACACAAGAGTTAATGACTAAAATACTCAACAGACTCTAAAGAGTCAGAAAATGTATGATATGCCTACACTGTCTGTCTATGGGAGGTGATTATGAGCTGTAATTTGAAGTTACATTCCTCATAATTGCTTAGAGATAAAAAAAATATATATATTTAAAAAACATTGTGGTGTGAAAACTATGGATAAAACAGGAAAGTATTCCAAATATTTAAAACAGAAAAACTAATAAAAAAGTATTGATACAGACTGATAAAGACGCTTATTTCATGATATTGTAATATTGTTCAGCCTTACCATAATTAGACTATTTCTGTGTTTAAAATCCATTTTAATTAGTTATTATTTAGGATTATTTTCTAAGAAATTGAGTTTGATTAGTTTGAATTTAATTACTGAAATTCATGGTTTGGGTAATGTTATCATTAATCAAATCCATATGAGTTATAACAATATTTAATTTCCCTTTGGGATCAGTAAAGTTGAATTTGTATCATTTGAAGGCAAAATTTTACCAAGTATTTTTTTTGTCCAGTTTCTAGTGAAAATATCTTAGTACACTTAAAATAAGACTAAACTGATTAATAAGCAACTTTTGAGCAAGATATAGAAGCTTGTTTAAGTCAATAACTCCTTAATATTGATTAAAACAACTACTAGTTCCACCGGTGGAATATTTCATTTATAATATGAAATGTTATGTGAAATAATCGGATGATGTAAGAAATTAAACAAATAGATCAATAACCCTAACCCAGTACATTGTTGGGTTATGGCAACTAACCAAAGGTTGGGTTAAATTGACCCAAAATTGGGTTGAAACTCATAACCCAACACAAGGGTTATTATACCACTATAGTTGGGTTAAAAAAAATATTTTAAATTTCACTATATAAAAACAGGATTAAAAGACATATGAATTTAAAGCTTCTTTTATTTCCACATGATACATATATAGACCCAGCAGATTTTATTTACAAAAATTACAAAACATAAGTTGTTTCAAAAGTATATAGTTAAATCACTTTAACTCATTTGGTTACAACTCCAGAAGTATCTGTTACTACACATTAGAAAACATTTCATGTAAAAAGTCTATTTTATAGCAAACTACAAGTAAAACTTTCAGCCATTAAACAAGGAGCATTTTTAACGACACTTTAGCATTTTTGCCTGTTTCCCTGCATGAGGACATACGGGTTGTCACATTTTGTAGATGCGCCACCAGGTTTGTCCCAACCTGATGGAGAGAAAAGACAGAAAAAACAGGCCATTAGTGATGCACTTATTTAAACAGCAAACAATTGGAGCATGATTCAGAGATCAATGTTGACTTACAGGCTGGATATCAATGAAACCATCTGAACTTCCAGGTTGATGGGTCTGAAACTCTTCTCCCAAATGAGTAAGGTGGAGCAGGGAGGAGAACTGGCAGCAGCTGCAGGGCTACATCATCTTGTCTGCATGGCAAACATAAGCTTGTGTTAAAATGTTAAATGTTAACAGTTTATAAACATCTCTTCAGCTTCAATACCTTAAGGGAGAAAA